TATATTTAATTCAGGTCAATTTTATGTCTGACCCGACCTGACCTTATCAGGTCGGGTCAAGTCAATTACCCGACCCAACCCAACCTGTTCGGAGCTCTAGGATTTACTTTACTTTACGGTATCTATCCCTTTCATAAAAAGATTTTTTAGTTTAAAGTTTATTACATCTTCATGTCCAACCCCAAAGTATTTCTATTTTACCAGTAAAGCAGATGGGAAATAATATCTCTTCATATGCTATATTTAGATAAGATTTTACTTTTTATCCTAAGATTAGCGTTTACTTGATTACGCAACTTTTTCATTACATTCATAGTAATTTTGACTATTTCAGTCCAGTACGCTTCTTTGGAAAGTTCTTTTCTAAAGAAGGCTTCATCACATTTCTTATAATATCTATCTGGGCAGGTGAGATACAAAAAATCGGTATCTCCATATTTTATCCCAAACCCTTTCTTTGATACGAATTCAACAACAAGATTAAGGTTATATTTTCCTGCCATAGTAGTTCTACAGGCTAATTTGTGAAGAAATATTGGAGATAGTGAGTTTCCAGCTTCCCCATAAAAAGTGTTCATGTATACCTTCAAAGCTTTTTGCTTCAAATCCCAATAATCATAATCAAAGCATACGGATGAGTATTCTAAATTTAAGCTTTCCGGAATTATTTTGCCTCTTTCTTTAGCTGAACTTATCATCTTCTCAAGATGTTACCTTTTTTTCCTAGTGGGACCAGACGTGCTTTAAGCCCTAGCCTCTTGTTAGATAAATCCTCTAATATTACTGGATATAATCTTTTCTTCTCAGATTGATTTTTATAACGTACGCACCAAGCTTGAATGTCACGCTTATTGAATTTAAACTCAATCATATGAAGCTCGTTCCCATTTTTATGGATATTATCAGCCTTTTATCGATCCAATATGATTTTTTCTGGGGAGAAGTTGTAGATCATGATAATGTTAGGATATAAAGATGCAAAATCCAAACCTGTTACAGGTCTTTCTGTCATAATACCTTTTTTAGATAAAAATACATACGCATCAGAATATTTTCTTTTTTCTATGTCTTTAGAAACCCTTGTACTAATTACCATATCTTGTTTGATAGCATATGCGCTGAGAAGATTCTGTACCTTTATTTTATTTGCGTAATAATGTGTGTCAAAAAGAGAAACATAAGCTATGGAGGCAACTTCTCTATAATCATTTATTGTACTTTGGTTTACCAAAAGCTCTTGACAATGCAGTGAGTCTATAATACAGTATTGTGCTACTTTACGCATATTTTTCGCGTTTAACGAAGAGGGTTTTTTTTCACCTCTGAATAGATTTTTCACATTTTATCGTATGGCATATCGGCCTTACTGTCAAGACTGAATTTTTATAGAAAGAATTTAAGTGAGCCTTCCCTTTCGACTTCAGAATGAAAAAAACGTTTTTTGAGGCATACTCAGATGTTAATCGGTATACAACCTGGCAGTTTAAGGAAGTTAGAAGTAAAATAATCTCCCACACTAATTTTGATCTTAATTGGACTACCCATATATTCTTTCTCCTCCAGATCCTTTTTACCTTTCTCGGGAGCCTTAACAGGATACTTTTTCATGAAATCATTTTCAGATTTTACTCCTAACTTTTCACGATATTTCCACTTTAGAATTTCTTCCTTTGTTTTGAACTTTTCTGTCATTCGCTTCCACATCCATTTGAGTATATTGAGATGATATGCTCTTTCCATAATAAAACACCAATCATAGTCTGAATCATTAAACCCAATATGGATATCAAGGCAAATGCTCGCCAACAGAAAGTGAAAGCTTTTAGTAGATTTACTTGGTGGGTCTGGTTCTATTTCAACATCGACAAGACAGATTTGTTTTAATAGTTTTGGATCATCTTTCCAATGTAATGTCATGCTAATCATAAAAACCTTGTTTTTCCGTTCAAAAACTTCTGCAAATTCTTCCATTTGTGAGGCATATGTTTTTATATTCTATGTAAGAACAAGAGTGCAATCTCGTAAGAGAGCTGAAATGGGAAATTGGTAGCTTATTATTGTAAGAACTTCCAGTGGACAGAAATCTTTTATAGATATGTAGAATTCGTGCGGAAAAAGTGGACTGGTTTGCTTACCTTTCTTACATATATATTTGTTTATAGTAGACCACCCAGAGAGTTTGATTTCATTTTCTTGAGCTACTTTTTGGTAAAATGAGTATAAATCATCTGAAGCAGTTTCGAAATTATTTTCTTGGATAGCTTGAATGGCTTTCTTTCTACCACCAGTACTGTTTGTATAAATTCATAAATATGACTTTTTTCTGTATAATAGCCATGAAAAGGGAATACCTTAATATTCTCTACTGAAAATGTCTTCATACTACCAGATAAAATATCCCTTATTTTTGTTTCGCATTCATCAGGAGATTCATTATCTGGCACGAGAATGTCAAAGAAAACCTGAATGTCTATAAGAGTTACTAGTGCCTTTTGGTCATTAATAAGATGACCATAAAGATGTAATATATAGCAGTATGTTCCATTTATTTTTTCTGTTGATCCTTCATTCTCAATGGCCATGAATGGAATATCTTGTCATTTAGATAAAGCATTCTCGAGTATTAGAGTTAATCCCTCATCATTTCCCGCAACTATTCATTCAGTATTGAAAAATCTAACAAGTTTTTTTCACCAGAATAGCGAATCAGTTGGCCTTCTATTTTATCTTTTTCAGCCTCTGAGTAAAAAAGGGCAGGGCGTCGAGGAACTCTGAAAGCTCAGATTGTGTCATAGTAAAATTTTTCGGATATGTTATCTAGTATATTATTTCAGTATAATACTCCAACAAAAAAGTTTAAAATAAAAATAAATAATTATAGATATCAAAGTGTTATTTATCTAAGAATAATATCAATAAGCGGTAAATGTATTTGCTAGTATCATTCCAATTAAAGAGAGGTTTGTAGGCAGAAAAGTAGAAAACCAGAAGGGTGTTATATTCATTGGAAAAGACACTAGCAACCTCTATGCAAACAAGATGGATGTGAAAGACTGACGGCTTTTGAATATGGATTTTGTGATTGGCATATAAAAAGTATTACTTGAACATATATTATCAATGGAAAAAGTTGGATAAGATGTTTCAGAACTGTTAGATCCCAGAGGTAATAAGTCAGGCTCTCGATAAAATGAAAATGCCTAATGTTATAAGTTGGCCCTAATGACTTATCAAAAATTTTGTCTTATGAAACATTTATAGGGACGGCAAAAAAACTTAATAAGGATACGTTAATATAGCAAACTGGTATTTTTAGAACTCTCGGAAGGCAATTTACTACTTGTCCTTAATAGCCTTAAGATCCCTAAGAAATTTTGAACTCTTTACCTTTTTTATTTTTTTTTTATATATACCATACATGACTATATTTATCCAAGTAGTATACCATAGAAAAATTTCGATTTTTTTCCTAAAACTTTAAAATTTCTTAGGGTTAATAAAGTTCTTAAGGACAGATAATAAAGAATTCAATAAAACAAGCTAAGAAGCCCAAAAATAATATCAAGGTTAACCTTATGAATTATCCCATGAAAATTTGATATTAATTTATAAGAACGCAATTTCATGATGATGGCAAAAAATTTGGTATATATATCTTCTAACAATATAGTAGAAAGATCATGCCTCACTTTGGTAATGCTTTAATATTGAAAATACACAAAAAATAATTATTCTAAAGTATATACAATAATAATAAATTCTGAATGTTATTCTTTGAGACGGTAAAATACTGAATTACAAATTGAGCTTACATTAACTTGCAAGATTTTAAATATGCAATTAGAAATAGATTCATTATGAGAATAAGTTAATGAGCTTAGAGATGAAAATACAAGGCTTAAAAATACAATTAGCTGTTAGGAGAATGGAAAGCAAAATATGATAACAAACTCTAGCGAAGTGTTTTATTCTAATGCTGAACAATTCATAATAGATTATGTTTCATTATGGCCTGACGATGTTCTTTGCAAACAAATATGTTGCGCTACTTTATATCAAGATTATCTTACTTAGTGTAATAAAAATAATAAGCAAGCATTAAGTAGTAATCCTCTTGGTAAAAAATTCTCACAAATGGATATCAACTATAAATGGGTATGAGTAAGTAGTAATAGAGAATGGCAATATAAACTAAACTGATCTAAAATCATAAGTAAGATATATGGTATAACTGATAGCTATTAATAAACTCAAATTGCAATAAATTATGATGATCTAACAAATTTCGACCAGCACTATTATATAAATTCAACCAGAACTTTGGATATAATAATTTGTCACCCAAGCTGACATAAAACTGGCAAACTAATAGAACCTTCTAGGTATCTTGCCAGTTTCCTACCAGTTCTTTAACAGTTTCATGACGGTTCCATGACAGCTTCACAGTAGTTCCAGAATACTACCAAGTCACCATAATGACGCCAAGCTGGATTTTCAAATTACATGTGCAAAAGATTAGCCAGAATTATATCATAGAGTCAGACAAAATTAATCGCAAATTTACTACGCTACTTATTATCTCTTTTTTTACACCATTTCAATATTTTAAAAGTCAACCAAATAGACATGCATTCTCAACATAAAACTGCTAACCAAACTGACACAGAGGGTCAACATTCTCACTAGAGAAACAGGCATCCAAATAAGGATGGAAAGCTGATACTAACAATGTAGAATTTAACATGTAAACGAATTAGGAATAAGAAGAAAGCAGTCACAATTAGATTATAATATCACCATTAATTTAAAGCAAGACCATCCACAATTAAACTGTGAAATCACCATCATATTATACAGGAAACGATTAAAATAATGTAATAAATGCAAAGAAGCTACCCATAAGTAGATTATGAAATTACCATTAGATTACGAATAGTAGGTTATAAAGTTACTACTAGATCATGAATTTAGATTATGAAATTATCATCGTATTATGAAGTTACTGGTAGACTATGAAGTTACTATTATATTATGAAGTTACCAACAGATTATGAAGTTACCTAAGTTACCTCCATAACTTAATCTAAGCCGAAAAAATATTAAATCATATAATATTAATATATTATATGATTTAATATTTTTGTTTTTTCATAATATAAGAAATCATGTGATATGATGTTATTTCGACTATTTCGTAACTTTAGCCTTCAATGGTCGAAATCATTTTGACCAAGGGTCTTACCACCCTATCTCAGTTGGTAACAACTGAGACCTATTGTAGTTACACTGCAATAGACCCTAGTTCAGCCCCTGGCCAAGGCAGATCATAATAATTTAATTTACGGGATTTACTGGTTCAATTCCGGGAATGAATTTCATAGGATGTGTATAAACTAGGGATGTGTCAGTCCGGTCCAGTCCGTCCGCGGTCCTAATAACCGGTCCTTAAAACTGTGGACGGACCGGACTGGTTTATAAAACCGGTTTACATGATCGGTTCAACAATCAGTCCAGAACCGGTTCATATATATATAATCGTTCACTTTTTATTTACTAAAATTTTCACATCAATCAATATTAGCATTATAAAATATAAAAAAATAAAAAAATAAAAGATGGGATTCTCAACGAAATGGCTTTTTTTTAAAAAAAAAAAATTGTGAAATTTAAAAAATTTCACACGATGCATCAACAGTCTTGTATCAAAATGGTAATTTCGAAATACACTCCAAATTTGTCATTTTTGTTGAATGTATAATATAAACCGGTTCAGACCGGTCTCTAGATCACGGACCGAAGACCTTGTGGACCGGTTCATTAACCGATTTGCGGACCGGTTTTGCCAGGACTAACCCATCCCTAGTGCTGTGGTGTTTGGGAGGAGGGATTGAATAGTGATGTTAGTCAGGCAGGTGGTTTCATAAAGAGCATGTGTTGGAGCATTGTCCACAAGAAGGATAATTTTCTGATTTTGTCTTCTTATTTTTATATTGAGTTTTTTTACATAATCGTTCTAAATTGAAATCTGCATCCAACTTTTTTGGTTCTAATAGTATTTAACCGAAAGCGTTCTTTTATCAATATTCTTGATAACCATAGGATTTTCATATTTGTGTATGAACAAAGGCGTCAGCTTTTCACTCCTTGTTGTATTACATATGAGTAGGATTGTTATACAATCCTTTAATTGTTTCTTTTCTGATGTTTGTTCGTTACATATCGTTCGACATGGTTTCATCTTCCAAAACAGTTCTGTTTCATCACAATTGAATATATCTTCAAGACTATATTCTTTTAATATTTGCTGGAGATTCTCTCTCATTGTTTTGAGATCTTTAAGCAATACACTCTCGGCTTCTCCGTATATAATGTACTGTTTAAGGTTATGTCATTTTTTAAAGTTGACCACTCAACCACTAGACCCTTTAAACTTATCCTCCTTTAATAAAAAAGCAAAACTCAAGGCTTTTGTTAAAAGAATATCGTCAGTAATAATGAGGCTAGCTTTGAGTGCGTTATCTACCCATATTACTAACGCTTCTTCAACGAGA